CTTTCCCTGAAAAATCAACAGGACTTGTTTGCAAATCACCGAAGCTGGGTCACTCTGACAATAAAGGCATTGCACTGTGCAAAGCTGCTTTCTTTTAAGAGTGGTAGCATTTTAGGAGGACTCAGCTGAGCCCCCTATCCTCCCAACACAAGACCCAGTAGCCTCCTCTTCCTCATCAAAAAAGAATCTTATTTATTAAAGCATAAGATAGTGTGTCGGTCCTTTTGTGTTGCCCCCAGGCACACGTGCAACTTCATCAAACCTTCCTCTGCTTTCAGCTCCTCCAACTATTAGACTTCTCCCCAAACAGTCCTGCCATCAGTTACAAAGAGATGTAAACCCACAGTCACTCCACTGAAACTTATAGGATTGCTCTGGCTTTACACCCACTTCGGAGGAACTTTCATCTGCAGGTATTCACTGTGAACACCAACCCATTTCTGCTGCAACATCAACACCACAGACTCGTGGCCTGTTGGGCAGTCCTGCCTTTTCGGATGCAGATGCCCAAAGCCAGGTACTCCTCTCCCAGTTTTGCTACACTGGTATTTGCTCCCCACTCCTCATACACAACTGTCCTAGCTGTTCGCATCTGCCTTTGACTTCAAAGCAAGCCAGGGCCACACAAAACATCTTCAGACTAAGTCACTTATACAGATATCCACCCCGCTTTATTCCTCATATCCCACCCCTTTGGAAACTGAGCACTAAAACAGGCAGGAGAGTTTTGTTGCCATTCACCACTTAAAAACGCATCGACTGACAGCTTGGCACTGTCACACACATGGTGAGCACAAGCCTCCGATCGGCTGCCGGCACAGGCTGCCGCAGTGTCGTACAGTCCTGCTGATAAGACCCTGGGGAACCTGCAGCTGCCAGCAAAAAAAAAAAACACTGCAACAGTTTAAATTCTGGCTACTTCTTCTCCATAGGATGCACAAGGAAAACAAAGCGAGGTGAGGAAGAGCTTTCACTTCCCCGGGTGATAACAGCTGAAGTATTTCAGTGCCAAGAAAATATTCCAGGGCAGACAGAAAGGAAGTTTTGCATGATCTCTAGCAAAACACTTGCTGCTTGCACCGAGACTTTTTTGCTCCCTTCGCTTTGCAGACACACAAGAGCACCCAGACACCTGCCGAGATCTGCAGAACCCACTCTTTACCAGCAAACCCAAAGCTCATCCATCAAACCTTGAATGATTTTTTTTTTCCTGTGGATAAGGACTTCTGTAGTCCCCATGGGGCAGGCTGCACTAGAGCTGGGTTCATGCCCAGTGCAAACTCTGGCAGCAGCACACCCCCTTCACCAGGACAATTCCCCCCCCACACCCAGGGGTTAGAGAGCATCCCCACACCACAGCATAGACTCACCACCAGGATCAGCGTCCCCAGGCACTCAGCCAGTGCTTGCCGGACTAGTTTGTTTCTGATCCTCAGGTGCTCCTCAATAGTAGCAAGAACATCCTTTTGCCTCCCCATCGCAGTAGAGGTGCCCTTCAAGCAGTGCCAGGGGGAAAAGCAGCAGCTGATAAAGCCTCAGCAAGGTTTCTTCCCTAGCAGAGCTGCCTTTGCTTATAACGAAGTTCTGCGATGCCTGACACACCTCCTGGGTAACCACACCCCTTCCACCCTCTCTTGAAACCCAACTTATTTTTTTTTCCTCCTTTTCAGCGTGTGACAGAGTGGGTGGTTTTCTTAATTTTCTTTATTGCTTGCATAGGCGAGCAAAGGATTCAGGAGTTTCAGAAGAAGAAATTAAGAGACAAAGATGTCCTGCTCAAACCCCCGCTGTTTTCACCACTTACCACCTAAAACATGGAGCCATATCTGCCCCTCTCCAGCTTCAGCTGAGGTCCTAAAAGCTAAATGCATGGACTGAGCAATGTCTTAACCCATTTGTGCAATCAGAGTACCCTGCTTTCAGCTTGCTTTCCCTCCCAAATTCCTGCAGGATGGCAAAGTGATGAGTACTCCTGTGTTAATCCAGAGGCCACAGGTGCTTTTGCAGCAAAATCATGGGGCACGAGGGTTTGATCCCCCACACCTGTACTGTGGGCTGAGGCCAAGGCACCTCCGGACTCCAGCAATTACCCAGCTGAAGCTGGTATCAAGAAGCAAGACCAGACCTCTCTCCATGAAAAGCTGCATCTGAGTCCAAACTGTTGTGTATCACTACAGTTTCTCTCCCCCTACCAGGGCTTTGGGAGAGCATTTCCAGCCCAGTCCCCATGAAAGCTGTGAAGAAAAGTGGTGAGAGGTCCCAAGTGCAGGGCCAATCCCTCATCACAGGACATTGACGAGGAGACCACTGACTCACTGAGCCTCGCAGGAACCGACCCTTGCTGCCTTTCCATCCTCAGTAACGTATCCTGTATCACATTGGGACAGTTCTATGGGACGATCTGAATGAAAGCTGTCCCAGTCCGTACCATCTGGGGTGAGGGCTGCTAACAGGACGCATGCCACTCGTGGCATCTGGTTTCTGTTAAGTGAGTAGTAAAAATTCCCCAGGCTCTTTGACTCACTGGGGCTTGATGCAGAGCAGCAGGGCTGAATTTGCAGGACTGAAGGGGACCCCTTTCCTGGATTTGTTCCCCCCGCCTCCTCTGCAAAGCCACAGATGCCCAGCTTTTCCTCTTCCCCTTATTTAACCGTCGACTTTCCCGTTGGAAAAGCAGAGCTTTTTAGTGCAGTGGTGAATGGGCCTTTATTTCGTACAGAAACCGTAGCCAGGCCGAGGAGTAGAGTCAGGAATGTGGTTAAAAAAGTAATAACATGTGAGGAATCAAATGCAGGGAAACACTTAGGTCCAAACATAATTACAGGGACAGGAAACTTTCCTCATTCCTTTGCGCTCAGGCCAGGTCTGGTATCACCAGCATCAGTGGGGTCCTCTGAACTACAGCGAGAACTCCGTCAGCCCCATGCATGCTCACTGCGGCTGGGGTTTGCAAACCAGTGGTCAGGACACCCGTTTTTTACCTTCTCTCCCTCTCTCTCCCCTCGCCCTCTTTCTGTGCATCACCCAAGCATTGGAGGATCCACAGCCACTTCTCTGCCTTGCTTCCTCCTGCACTCCCCTCCTCTATACTCTGCTCCATCCTGTTCACCCTGACTCTGTATTGAAGCCATCACAGCCAGAAATGAAGCTGTGTGTTGGGTTTTTTCCCTTTTGGCAGTTCCTAAGCTAAGGTCTGTGGGCTGTTTTGCCATTTGTTGAACCATCAGTGTGTAGATGCTGTGTTCTGTGGTGTAAGTTTATTGAGATTTATTTAGACTGGGTCCTGGATCCCGTCCCTTCCCTGGTGGTGGGGACAGGGCCATAAGAGCAGAGAGAGCCAGGTGAGGAGAAAGAGGCATGGGGAGGTGTGATGTTCTCCAGGTAGGTAGGTACATTTCTCCTGTCTGCAGCATCTGAGCCCCTGTGACTACGAGTTGAGGATACAGACATTTCCTCACGACTGGTGAAGGGAGGGAAGATGTCTAGGCTCCCACGTTGATGGTAGAAGATGGTGGTAACACCAGCATCAAAGCTGGTGTTTGGAAAAGTCTAGACAGATGCAAGCCCGAGGAGCCAGGGTGGGGTGGGCACTCCGACACCGGCTCTGCGACTGACTCAGTGCCTGACCCTGAGCAAATCCTTCACTTTTCCACACCTCAGCTTCTCTATCAGTAAATTGGAGAGAGTGACATCGGATTCTCTTCATGGGGCATTGTGAGGGTGAATCACTGCAGCCCGAGATCCAATGACTTAAACTGAGCAATAGGGTCTTATGCAATTGCTTTCCCAACAGACAGCCATGTTATTATCTAGGAAGGAGCTTGGGGAAGGGACAGTGATGCAACACTAGAAGAAGTGGAAGATCTTTTCAGAAGCAATAACTAATCAAAATGTGGGTAAGGCTGAAAGGCCCCAGTGCTGGAGCTTCTCTGTGCCAATACAGGTATTGCCCTGCCACACCATTCAGCTGGACTCCAGGGACACATGATCTAAGCACAAAACAATTAAAGATGTGCATCAGCAGAAATAGGTTTCCAAACAAGCCTGTCTCCTGCAGTAACTGGTGCACAGGGTCCTGGTACCCATCCTGGTGGTTAGAAGAAGTCCATGGGTCAGTAAAAGTAAACAAGGAAGGATGTAGCAGTGAGACTAACAAGGTAGGCTCTCAGAGCTGCTGGGCTCTCCTAGTGTTGGGTGGGCACAGCGAGATGTCCATGCCTTTAACATTGCCTTGCACGGACATTCAAAGATGCTTTCACAGCACAAAGGCTCAAAGAAAGGAAATTTCCAAAATTCTGTCACAAAAACTCATGCCTGACCTCCTGGTGGTAGTGCCAAAGCTATTGAAGCCCAAGCAAGGGACTTCTGTTGTCAATCACAGTGTGATTCAAACATCAGGTGTCAAAGTGCCTAGAGTGAACTACCTCTATCAATCTGTACAGTGTCAAAAATTCAAAATATTGGGGGGCCAATGTAACACTTCAATTTATGGAAACTGTTGATTGCCCAGAGGAAACTCAAAGAGAAAAGGAAGCTCAGCTCAGCAGGGAAATCAGAGACAACATTGTTCTGTTGTGCTCCTTCCATAAATCTCAATCTTTTCTTCCGATATCTTCTGGGACCAGCAAATACGGTAGTACCTAGGAATAAACCAAGATTTGAACCCATGCCCTCTGACTCTGGTCCAACAGAGCACTTGTCTGTAATGTTTGTCACTTTCTTGTTCTTTTCCTTTCTCTCCTGCAGAACCCTGCAACATGCCACAAGAAACTCGCTGTGCTCAGGCTGTTATTTCTAGACAAGATCCAAAACTAACACCCAGGTTCCAAGTTTGCTGTTTGCATTTCAGCCTTGCTGTTTGGCTCCCTCCCTTATCACTCCACTCCAGGGGAAAGACACGGGTGAAATTTTAAAGCAAGAACCGATCCTTGGCTGCTCCCCTTCAGCTGTTTTCCTACTGGATCTAGTGACACAAAATAAACTCAGGCTCATAAACTCCTTGGCTTCTGCAGAGTGCTGAATCAGCCTCCAGCAATGTAATTTTTCCTATTAAAAACCAAGTTTAACAAAGTAACCAGACTTTTTCTCAAGCAGTTGAATGGCTAAACCTGGACTGATGGGTTCAACATCTTGTCCAAACCAAATTAGTTCACCCATCCCAGGATGGATGGTGCAATCCAATAAGGAGAAAAGTGTGAATCACACAAATCTGTAATGAGTCACTCATTGCACTGATGGCTGGGTCACCTGGTGCAAAAGCCGTTATGCCAAGAGAGGTCACTGGGTCAAAGCATGACAGGATTCATCCTTGTGAAATCTCCCTTTGGAAGATACCTCTGACCATCTCCTTCCCATGATTTACTTGGCAGAGCAATATGGTGACACGTTCAGAAGATTTCATTAAAAATAAAAATTATAGCTTGCCTAGCAAGGCAGGGTAGGAAGTGAGTGGGTAGGAAGTTTATAAGCTTCTAAACCATTTTAGCTGGAGGGTTGAGTGCAGTGATTTCAACATCCTGCCTTGAATCTACAGATTTGCAGAGCCAGGTGTTCATTTCATGTCTGGGTCTGCTTAGCCCTCCACCTTGAGTTAGAAAAATGGAGAAATTCCTCCAGAGAACAGTGGTAGCCTACACGGCTGAGGGTGTGGCATCTGTGTTTGGAGAAACTTAAGGTGAAACTGCAATCCTAATTTAGGTTCCTTGGACATCTAAGAGAGGTCTGGAAGATGGCAAACTGGGTTTGGACTTGAATTACAATATAGTAATGGGAATAATACTTAAAATCCCTGAAAACAGCTCTTCATGACGACCACTGCTTAGGACCAAGCGGAGGAAAGGGTGACTCTGAGCTGAGTCTATACCTCATATCATTCAGAAGTGTCTCATAGGGATGGATACCCCAGAGTTATATTGGCGCATGGGCCCACAGACTGTTCCCACTGGCGGTTCCTTGTCATGTCTGATTTCCTCCTCATCCCAAAGCTGGTCCCAATTTACAGGAATAAACATTGTTCATCACATGCCATTCCAGTAGAGAAGCCATTTTCCAGTATAAGCAGTTGCATACCAGAATAACTACTGTGCACTGGAAAAGCACCAATTACTCCAGAAGAAAGCTTTTTAATAACACATCTGAAAGGAAAGCTATTACAAACAGCTCTCCTGAAATAGGGTTTTGGCAGGAGCTACTGCCATAAACTCGTCTGTGTAGACAGTTGCTCTTCTGAGAGCTGCAGAGCCAGTCCTGACTTGGAGACACTGCTGCTGCTGAGCCCTACAGCAGGAGAGTTCAAAGACCCTGAAGGCAGAAGACACAGAAATGGGGTGAAACTCCAAGCCCAAAGTGTGAGT